TTCGGTGGTATTTGGAGGAGGCTGGGTGGGAAAGATGTTCCTGGTATCAGCATCAACCTTACAGAGATACCCACCATCTCCACCACGAGCTGCAGCAGGACCCCATGGCCAGCACAGCAGGTGCCATCACAAATAGAACTGTTTGGGCAGGGAAAAGCCCCATCTTCCCCAGCTTCCTCATTCAATTTGCTCTGAAGGCAGCTGAGCCCTGAGCCAGTGTCCTGCATCACTGCCTGCCCCTCACCCTGCCTCTGGTCTGTGCTCCCTCACACCTCAGACTGCAGATGCTCAGAGAGAAGCCGGTTTGGGGAGCATTGTGTCTGCACTAACAGCAGGAGAGGTTCCATACCCCCATACACACATGGGGTGATGCATCCCCATCGCTCTTGCTCATTGTTTCTGTTCACCCAAAGCTATCACTTGGCTCAGGGTGTTCCAGCAAATCTATTTCAGCTTTCCTCCCCAGTTCCAGTGATGCAATCACCCAGGCTGGGTGCTGAGGAGGAAGAGGAGGGGGTGAAGCAGGACTCATGTAGACGGATGGGTTTCTTTCATCCAGCAGAGCAGACGCCTCGGCTCACCTCCACAACCTGCCCCATCCATCATCAGCCACATGCTCCCTACACACTCCTGAGCACCTCATCACCCAGAGCGGTGCTAATTAAAACCCATCAGGAATGAGCCATTCATCAGCTATTAGGTGAGGGAAGCTGCAGTTCTCAGCAGTGCCCATGAGCACATGCCATCACCCAGGGGTACACACAAAGCCCAGCAGAGTTGGATACAGAGACACAGCCTGGAGGAACTCAGACCAGGAAACTCATGCTACTAAACAATAATGCTGATGAGTTTCCCTAGAAATGCTTATTGCTTAATAGAAAAACAAATCAAATCATCCCTTCAACCCCTTCTACACCAAGGAACCTACTGGTGAGCCCAACCAAGTAGCACAGGGCAGAGGTGGAGGCGAAGCTGTCACTGGTTTTCCTGCTGCCATGGATGCCATGGGAATTCCTGTTATAATATATCCTCACCACCATCAAAAGGGGCCGATAAGAAACCTGGAGAGGGGCTTTGGACAAGGGCCTGTAGGGACAGGCCAAGGGGAATGGCTTGAACCTGCCAGAGGGGAGACTGAGATGAGCTCTTAGGCAGAAGCTCTTCCCTGTGAGGGTGCTGAGGCGCTGGCACAGGGTGCCCAGAGAAGCTGTGGCTGCCCCATCCCTGGCAGTGCTCAAGGCCAGGTTGGACACAGGGGCTTGGAGCAAGCTGCTCTAGTGGAAGGTGTCCCTGCCCATGGCAGGGGATTGGAACTGGGTGAGCTTTGTGGTCCCTTCCAGCCCAAACCACTCTGGGATTCTATGGTTCTATGGAATGTTGCTGGAAGGGAAGGAGCCCGGCTCGCTGCCGTGTGCTGGCTCAACCCCACCAGTGATGCTTCATTAACTCAGAGCCTCACGATCTCTGCTCTCCATCACCCACATCAGTCCCGGTCACCACTCAAGTGCAGAGACAGAGAATGAGAAATGAAGAGGAAAAATTCACCTCTGGGGGCTGGTGTCTTAAATGATGGATGCTCTGCAGGGTTCATTTGGCCGGGTGTGGTACGGAGCAGCCGCGTGCTGTGCTCTCTGAAGCATCTCTTCTGTGGCCTTCTCCCACCGAAAAGCCACTTCACTTGCAAATAATCAAGAGATAGAAGGGGAAGAAAGATTAAATCAAGCATAAAATAAGCAGGAGGAAACCAAACCACAATTGAAATCCAATGTTCTCTAAAAATCTGAAGTTTATTCATTAGAATTCAGTGAAAGGAACATTCATTTTGAAACACAATCAATACAGTAAAAAGTTGAAAGGACGAGTAGCAATGAGACCAGAAAGAAAACGAAATAACCCCAAATTCAGACAAGTTGGTCACTGGGGAGGAGCTGCCTCCGGTCCCAGCTCTGCAGTGGGGCAGCACGGCCCCAGCTGGGACAAGGGGAATCACTGTATGTCTGTATTACCAAGAGGCTTTTCTAGCTCATCCCTTCACCCAAGTGGGGCCTCCAGAAGGGCTCAGCACCCAGAGAGGAGCAGGAAGCTCCAGCTGGAGAGGAGGGAGCCTTAAGGGGCAGAGGGAATGTGGAAGGCGGAGCGCCCCAGGAATGTTTGCTGAGCGACCTGCCCACCCCATCCAAAGCCAGACACCAGTGGGTGAAGAGCTATTAAAGACATAGAGTTGAGCCCAATGGCTGGGCACCAGTTGCCTTCTCTGCTGGCGTTGGTGGGGGGGCAAGAAGAGGAAAAAACTTGCTTTGGGCTGTAATCTTTTAGCTTTCCAGCACTTACTCTTCCTGCTGCCCATCACTGCTCACAACCACAGCCCTTCTGCACAGAAGCTATTTCAGTGCAGGGCTGCAAACTGCAGGGGCACAGCCCCTCCAGAGTCAAGCAAACAAAGCAGCACATTCATTCAAGTAAGTGACAAACACAAGCAAGAAGAGCCACACGGACTGGTGTTGGGTCTTATCTTACCAGAAGCTCTCCCTGCATTCCTGATCCCAAAATTCAAGGTATTATTCCAAGAAGATGCTTTATTGATGCTGGCAACGCAGGCGGCTTGGGGCTGGAGCTCCCCAGGCTCCAGCCCAGCATGGCAGGAGAGGAAGAGAAGGTGGAAAGCTCTGTTAATCCCATGTGGATCTTGGGATTATGGGAAGAGCAATCCTCAGACATGGCCACACTCCCAGCCCAGCCAGGGAGCACCAAGGGGAAATTCATCCCTGGCTTCAAGAGCATCACCATGCATCAACTCACACCATCTCCTGCCTGGGGAGTGAAGTAAAGCCCCAGTTGGACAAAAGAATTTAAGCAGACAGAAGGGGAAGCCCCAGCTGAAATCCGTGGCTTTCGGGCTTAAAGACAACATTTGAGGGAGAAATCACCAAAATCCACAAATTCAGATTGAAAACAAAGCTTAAAAAGTAAGAAACAGCAGCTGATGAGCGTGACAAAACTGCCTGAAAGCAAAGATGTCCCAGCGGTGTGTGCAGAGAGGGGTGCTGGTAACGGGGTTTCGGAGCGGGCCCCGGGTATGGAGTGGAGCAGGAGGTGACAGGAGGTGATTTCCTTGCATTGCACAGGCAGTGGGAGCAGCAGCAGGAGTTGCCATTTCTCCACGGCAAGGGTGAACCACACCGCTTCGCCAGACACCGCACACGAGGAAAGGAACAGTCCGTGAAGATTCCCCATGAATAGAAAATGCCAAACTATACAAAAATAGATAAAATCGACCATTTTCTTATGTGTATAAAAACAAACAAACAAACAAAAAACAAAACAAAAAAAAAACCCCTAAAGTCCCCAAAATGCAATACAGAATTACTTGGTAGACTGACTCAATGTCAGTGGTTTCATCGCAGGTTAACAGCCGTAATTCATCCCTTTGAGGCAAAACCTTCCATGCATTCCAAGGGTTCCTCAAGGGGAAATTCCCTTAACACCCTGGCGAGACAATCTGAAGCCCTTTTCCATTAGAAAGCCTCCATTACCACTCTCAGATCTGAGCTCCTCAGGTAAGGCAGGATCTGACTAAGGGCTGGATCCAGACCAGGACCAGAAGCCCTGTTCCTGTTTAGCCCGGGACAGACGGGTGGTTTAGGAAGAGCAGCACGTTAGGCAGTGAAATCCAATCTCACTACAGCAGTGATCATTTACAGGCTGGGTTAGCACACTGAAAACCCTTCATTTCTTTGGGTTAATGGAGCAGAATATGCCAATAATCCAGCAAATGAGCTCCAAAACCGCTTCTGGAAAGCTCGTTTAAAGCCAATGGGTTTTTGCTTCATTTAGTTCCCATCTAATTAAGGGGAGAAACCTTTGGTATGCAGTCAGATTATCAAGTCTTGGCTGTATTGCTTTCACCCACTCGAGTCTAGAAGCTGTTTGCACTGAGCCTTCCCACGACGTACCTACAACCAGAAGGATGATCCCTAGAGACATGCGCTTGCAACGGAACATTCATTGGAGCACCGAGACACTTCCACACCTCACCAAGACTTTGGCAAAGGCTGCACCATGGAGACACAAAATGCTACAAGAAACCCCCTGAAACCCACGAGGTGCCTTTGGTGACACGCTGAAATTAAGGAGTGATTAAAACACCATCAAGGAGCTGCTGTCAGGGCAGGCAGAGGCTGTGAACGCCTGCGGGGCCAACCGGGTTCTCCTCTGCAGGCTGGGGATGCGGAGCAGGAGCGGCATCAAGAGCCAGGTTTGTCCCATGAAATCCTCTCTGGATGTGCAAAGGGATGGGAGGAAAGAAACGTGGCACTGCAGTGACCCCCTGCAGCAGGACTGGGATGAAAACACTGGGAAATGGAGGTTTCAGCTCATGGATATAGAGATGGGTCTGCTCTAACCTCTGCAGTCTGCTCAGGGATGAAAACACAGATAGAAGCAGGCAGGCAAAGCCTGGCTTTGCCTTTCCCTGCTCCTTCAACACACACAAGGACAAGGCAGTAAAGAATCACTTCTCAATAGGAAATACCAGCACCTCATTTTGCTTGGGAGGTGGAGGGGGGACCAAACCCCGACCAGCTCCTTGGGCCTGTAAGTCCGGTGATGCCAGGGAGCTGCTGAGGTTTCCAACCGGAGCCACATCCCTGCAGGGCTGCGGGTCAAGAGAGGAGCAGGAGCTGGCAGGACAAGCGGGTCAGGGCTGGGAAGAGCTGCCCCTTGCCCTGCACTTGGCTCTGGAGCAGGGAGAAAACACCAGAGGCAGCTCGGGAGGAAACTCTGGTATTTCAGTTTGTGATCGGTCCATTTAATGCTACAAATTCTGCTGCAAAGAGAAGCAGAAAAGGGGCAGCTCGGGGGAGAAGAAATCCCATTGTCAGGAACTGAATTAAAGTGAGGATCCAGGGAGAGAGGAAGCAGCTTTGAGAGCCATGGACAGGGAGGTTTGGTTTAGAGACGTGTGTTTGAGATCATGGGGTGAGGCCACGGGAGATGCCTTCAGCGGACGCCTGCAGGAGCTCGTCTCAGCTCGTGTCCCTCCTCCACACTCCCTCAAACAGGAAAACCAAATCCCAAACCTGCAGCGACCTCCATCCCTTCCATCCCCTCCAGGCAGGAGGAGGAGGCCGTGGAGCCCAGCTGAGGCTGGTACATTCTGTGTTCCAACCATCAGAACGCTTCCCTCGCATGAGTCTAGGCAAAGAAAGCAAGCATCAAGTAATGGACATTAAAGAAACCAACCCCAGACCTTCCTTCTGAAGGAAGTAACAACACCTGCAACTTCACAGCTACAGGCACGAGGCGGAGTTAGCTTATTCCAAAGACCTCATCCCTGTGCCCACGGCGTGGGAGAGGGCAGGAGCCTGGGACAATGCACGGGAAAGGCTGCAACTGGAATTCTACACTGAAGGCAGACCACGACACAGAAGGGACCGAGGCTTTGTTCTTGAGAGGGACAGCACATCTCTCCAAGTGTGACATCTCTGAGCAAATCGAAACTAGACCTGGGGACGCGATGAGCACGCACACACCAGCTCCTGCTCTCCTTGGGGCCAGGGAAAAGGAGTAATAAATAAGAGTGTGACGGCAAAGTTCCCCTTTTGGCTGAGTCTCCTCCATCCTCACTCTGGAAACAACATCCCTCCTCCCCAAAGGGAGGCTGAGATGGAGACATTCAGTGTGAGCCTGAACCAAAACGTTTCACCAAGAAGAGGAAGAACCCCCCCCCCCCGGCTGGGATTTCCCTCAACAGCTTCCCCAGGCTCCAATCCTGCAGGAAAACCCTAACCCTGCCAAGGGTCCATTCCCAGCTCTCACTCCAGCAGCAACGCGAGCACACGCGGGGGCAACACGAAGGTGCCCCAGTGTTAACACACAAATCCCGCAGGCGACCCCGAGCCCTGGCAGAGCATCCGCAGCACCGAGAGCATGGCCAGGGCTGCAGCAGAGGAGCTCCTCAGCCCAGGTCTTGTTTCAAGTCACTCACTGCTTTATTTCCTCCCTCCCTTTGCAACCCCTGCTGCTCCCTCCCCGGAGCAGCTACTCGGCGTCGGTGCGGCCGAGGGCAGCGCTGCGGGCACCAGGGGGGGCTCTGCCCTTCAGGGGCTCTCCACAGCGCTCCGGGCTCTGCATGGAACCACTGGGATGCTGCGGAACGCCCTGGGCGATGCCCACGGGTTTGCACTTGCCGCGCTTCTCCGGGGAACAAGCGAACCCAAAGCCTGGGGGCAGCTCGGGCTCCGTCCCGCCCGAGGGTACCAAATGGGGCAAGGTTTTGGTGGCGGCATCTCCACGGTACCTGTAGGAACCGGCTGCCTCCCGGGACCACCTCGCGTCAGGCTGCAGAGGCAAGTTGTGGGGTCTGAGCGGGGGCCTGCTCAGCTCCGGCTCTGGAGACTCCCCAGAGATGCTCTGGGAAAGAGGCAAGAAAGGGGACACGGGGCCCGGCTGCTCCGGGGGCTCCCAGGCACCATCCATGGCGGTGGCTGGAGTGAACTCCCAGAGCTCCATCCCCGTGTTGGGGTCGTGCTGGAGGTGCTGCAAGCCCGGCCAGCTCAATCCGCCATCGGGAGCCACCAGCTCGCCCTCCTCCTTGCTCCTGCTCCTCCTCGCTCCACCGTCCCGCTTCGCCCAGAGCCGGCCGGGCTGGGGGCCGCCCCTGGCAGCCTGGGGCTCAGCAAGCTCGAACTCCAGGCTCTCCGTGTCCAGCGACCGGCTCCTGCGGTCCATGGAGAGTGGTGCCATGGAGGGGCTCAGCCCGTGCAGGCGCAGGTGCCGGGGCAGGCTGGTGACGCCCCAGTCGCAGCTCTGGAAGGAGCCCGGGGCGAACCCCGGGGACATTCGCTCGTCACATTCAGCCAACGACTCCTTCTGCCCGTAGCTGTCCTCAAAGGCCTCGGCAATGTCCTCGCCCGCAGTCATGTCCGGATGCTGCTCGCACTCCCCTTCTCCTTCCTGCTCCACGTCGACCACGTCGAAGGTGACCATGGTGGGGAGGGCAGGGAGGTTCTGGGTGAAGGAGGAGCCGGAGGCTGAGCTGCCCAGGCTTTCGGACAGGCTGGAGAAGAGGGTCCCGCTGCTGGCGAACTCCACCAGAGCTTGTGAGAAGCTCACAGCATGCTCAGGCTCGCTGCCCACCTGGGGCTTGCTGCTGGGGGTCTCCTCTCCATCACCATCCTCATCCTCTGGGAGCCTGTAGCCAGGGAACATCCCTGCTTTGGCTGGGGCGACGCTGCCGTGGATGGAGTCCCGGAACAACCCACGGTCTGGGTCCGACTCAAACCCCGGGTTGTTCTGCACGAGCTGAATAAGGCAACTTCCAGCTTTTGGGCTGTTGTAACAGTTTTCTGGACACAGAGTCCCTGGAAAACCCCTCCAGTCTGGATTTTCAGCTCTAGCCACCGAACCCGCGCTGTTCCCCCCTCTGTTTGGGGCGTGCGAGGCCACCTGCTCACCACCAAGGCCACTCTTTTTGCCCATTGAGCTGGCTGCTCTGGTTTTACATTCAACACACTGCTTCTCAAGGGGACACTTCTCCTTGCTGGGAGCATCAAGGCGTTTCAAGACCGGTTCCCGCTGCAGCTCCCAGTACAGCAGCTCTTTCTGAATGGCCGCCAGCCCCTCTTCTTCCATTTCCATCACCCCTCTTTTCTGGTCGATCATCTGGATCAGGCTCTTCTCGGCAGGGAGGCAGAAGTCCAAGAAGTAGCTGAAGATCCCGGGGCGGGAGAGTTTGCTTTCAAACAGGGATTCCTCCCCGTGAGAGGGACTCATCAGCGCATCAAACTCATAAAGTGCATCACCGCTGTAACTGTCCCGGGGCAGGCGATCCTTCTTGAGCTCACCCAGCCCGTCCCCAGCATCATCCTCCGGCCCTGGCGTGGTGGAGTCATAGTAACCCTCGTCACTGTTAGGGGCGGACTCTTGCTGGTCACTCTGTGGCGTCAGGAGGTCAACGCCATCCATCGCATCCCCTATGAAGGGGTGGGCTTCAGCCTCATGCGAGGCATGGGTCTCCAGGCTGCTGCTCGACACCTGGGCTCCGTAGCTCCTGTCACCTGGCACGTTGCTGCCCCATAGGTGGTGGAGGTACTCCTCTGCCTCCTCGGGTATGGCCATCTCCTCCCCACCGCCCTGGTACGTGACCAGGCAGGAGCTCCGCTTCGCAGCATCTCTGCTGCGCTCCACAGAGATGGTGCTCTCGGCGATGTCGGGCTCAGCAATGTCATCTCCACACCCCGTCAGGGAGTCAAAGCTCTTCAGGGACGCAGCATCTCCCAGGATGAGGCTGAGCAGGTCCCCAGAGTTGAGGCAGGGGGGGTCATTGTCCATGAAGTCTGGATGAAAAGCCATCAGCATGTTACCATGGTCAAACTCCGCGCACACAACAGCGTCAGCCTCTGGTTTTGTATCCAGGGCATCCCTCTTCCCTGGCACTGTCCCCGTGTCACACTCAGAGCTGCCCTCAGCAGCAGTCAGGCAGCCGGGCTCGGCCTCCCCACAGTTATCAGCAGTGCCCATGGAGTGCTCATCCTCCGGGCACCCCATGCAGGCTGTGCCAGGAGGGACCGGTGCCAGTCCCCTTCCCTCTGCAGCACCTTGGCTCTCCGCTGCCCCTCCGGGAGCTCTGCTGGCCTCCTCGGTGTCCCCGCTCCACTCGGGGAGCTCGGCTTTCTCACACTCGGCCGCCTTGCTCTTCCGGTGACGCCGGATGCTGCTAAAAAACCCTTTCAGGCCTTTTTTGGGTCTGGGAAAAGAGGATTTATCTCCATTGGGCTTTTTCTCACAGCCCTCAATGCTCCCTGGTGGTGAGCTGTCCTGCTGGCCAAACTCAAACCTGGCGCTGGCGTCTACAGCAACGTGAGCGCTCTGGGAGCTCGGCAAAGGGCCGGGATGCAGGTCCCTGCTCCCCTCCGCAGGGCTTTCCAGCTGCACCCCACCACCTTTGTCATAAGCAGCACTGCTGAGCCCGTCGTGGGTCTTACATTTACTGAGGCCCTTCTTAGAGTTTGCCTTGCCCTGGCCTTTGCTCCTGCCCCCGAAGAAGCTGGGCAGCGTGCAGATGCTCCTCTTGCCTCCAAACAGCTTGAACGCCGTCTTCTTCAGCTTCCCGGGTGCCGGCTGCGGCTCCGCGGCTGCGATGGAGGCACTGCCCTGCTCAGGGAGCTGGTCCCTGCTCTCCTCCCGCTGCTGGTCCCCAGCACAGGCCATTGACTGTGTCCTGGTCCGGGCAGACTCCTCCGTGCAGCCCGTTTCCATGGCAGCTGCCTGGTTTGGGTGCATCTAGCTGGAAAGGGTGACTTTGGGAGCGGAGTTCTCTTCTGGGCACGGAGATCGAGGCATCACAGCTGAGCTAAAGCAAAGAGAAAGGGGAGAGATGTGAGCGGAGGGCAGCAGATGGTACAAAGCCAGAGATGAAGAGTTTGGTCACCAGCTAAGACTGGAGCTGCAAATGCCTCCAAAAGCCACTCAGTTCCTTCCATTCCTTAAAACGGGCATAAAAACATCGTGCTGCTCAAATGCAGCAGTTTACAAGTGCAGGAAAACCATTCCCACTGCCCAGGGACAAACAGGTCTCATCCCTGAGCCACCTCCCTCCAAGCCCTTTGGCTTCCCGGCCCTTTTGCCACCAGGTTCAGGTACCAGCCACCCCTGAGCTGGCAGCGACAGGCTGGGACAGGGACTAACACCAGCCAAAGCCCATTCCAGCCCTCCCAGACCTAGTGTCAAGCTACAGGGAGCATTCTGATGGGGACCCAGCCAGGATGCAGCTCACGCTGAGCACATGCCCAGGAGGAAAGCTGCTCTAATGCACTTGTTAGCTTTTTTAAGAGGATTGCAGTTGCTTTCCAAACTATCTCTCCAGCGAGAGGGAACTGCATCCGAAGCAGCCACAATGAACCGCCCTGATCAGATTATCCCAGGAGCGGAGAGGGAGGTTTTAAATCTGATCCCGGATTGATGTCGGTAACATGAGAACTCAAATAATAACGTTTCCTTTGCCAACCTGAGGCTGGAGGCAGTAAATACACAAAAAGGCCAGGTCGGACACAGGGGCTTGCAGCAAGCTGCGCCAGTGGAAGGTGTCCCTGGCCATGGCAGGGGTTGGAGCTGGATGAGCTCTGAGGTCCCTTCCAACCCAACCCAGTCCAGGCTGCTCCAAGCCCCGTCCTACCCGGCCTTCAGCGCTCCAGGGACGGGTTTAACCCCAGCCCCGCTCCGCCCCCGGCGCTGGGGCCGGCGGGACCCTGGCTCCCCACTCCCCAGCGCACCCTGGGCACGGCAGCGGGAGGCCCCGGCCCGGAGCCGCGGGGAAGCGCGGCCGCCACCACCGCGCCGGGCGGTAACGGCGGCAACGGCGGCAACGGCGGCCCCGGGCCCGCCCGCAGGAACCGCGCCCCCCCCCACCCGCTCCAACGCCCGGCACTCACCGGCGGCCCGCGGGGCTCGGAGGGGCCGGGGCGGGCGGCGGGGCCCGGGGCAGCCCAGGCCGAGGGGCCGCCGGGTCCGCGCGTCCGCCCGGCGCGGCCCGAGGGGCGGGGCCTGCGTCACGGCGGGGGCGGGGCCTCCCTGACGTCAGCGTGGCCGCGGGTGGCACCGGGTCCTAATGCCCGCCCCGGCACACTCATCCCTGCACCCCCGGCTGACAGCGCAGGGCAGTGCCCCTGCTCACAGCACCCGCTGGGCAGCCCGGCAGCGGGGACACATCCTTTCTCCAGCAGAGCTCCACGTGTCCCTGCAGCCACACACGGGCGCCACACGGGAGCGGCAGCGTGGACACCCGAGCACAGGAGACACCCTCAGCTCCTCCCATGCCTGGAAACCCGCAACAGATTTGTCCCTAAATCGGGGGGAAACGTGCCTCTGCAAAGCCCCTAAAGGCCACGTGCCTCTGCCCTGGCAGCACTTCCGTTTGGGATGCAGTTCGGGCAGCATGGACTCAGCCATCTGCATTCTGCTCCATCCCAAAACGCTGTCCAGAGCAGTGTGGTTTATCCATCAACTCCGTGGGGTGGGAAGAGCCACCAAAGCTGCTCCAGGCAGTGATGCCCTAGAGTTGTCCCCATTGCACATCAGGAGAGCTGGAGTGATGGAGAGACCCATGGAAAGTGGGAGCAACCGGCAGGCAGCACCCATGCCTGAATGCCCTGCTCCAGCCTGAAATCCCCTTCCAAAGGATGCTGGGCTCTTTGATTAAGGGATATTTTATGAAACAGGTCACAATAGTTTAATAAGAACATTTTTAATTAAAAAACAGCCCCTGCCCAACCCCAAAAACCCCTCGACCATGACATGAACTCACCGAGGTAAGATGGTGTTTAGAGACAGAGCTGGGGGCTCTGGGAACAGCTCTGGCCTCTGGGTCTTATCCCAGCCCCTGCCTGGGCTTTGCACTGACTTGTGCCCTGGGGTCCAGAGCACACAGGCACAGTGATGGGCTGGGCCAGGTCCAGGATTCCTTCAGTGCTTGCCAGGCTGCTGAACAGAGGCACTTCAAAACCTCTGGGAAAGGGGGTTTAGAAGCAGCTGAGGTCATAAAGCCTGATGGTGCCTCCCTCCATCCCACTCTTACCCACGAGGAGAGGAGGTAAAAGCAGCCTTTAGTCCCCTCCCTCTGCTCTGCACACCTTTTCCCACCCCGTTCTCCAACCAGTATCAACTAAAGATGTAAAAACCTTCAGTGAAGAGGGTTTAGAATCAAACCCAGCTAAACCAGACCCTGCTTTACCATCACCCTGATGCAGACCAGGAGCTCAGGTCTCTGTTTTCTCCCGCTCACTCCCATCTTTTTGCCTGGGCACTGCATTTTGGAGACACCTCCTAAGCAGAAATGACTCCGTGATGACAAATTCAGGTGGTTGCACGCTGAGCAGGTGTCACAGCAGCTTTTAATGTGGGTGCTCAGCACACGTAGAGGGCAGGCGTCCCTCGCACTGGGCCGTGTGTCATGGCTGGTGTTGGAGGTAGTTTGCCAGGGCTGTTGGGATCTCCAGTTTGCCGAGGGCATGGAGGTGGGCAGCTGGCTTCAGGAAGCGCCTCAGGGCCAGGCGGGACTGAGCCATCAAGGATTTGGGATGAGCTGTGAAAGGAGAGGGAGGGGAAAAAGGAGGCAGATGGTTACCTTCAGGACACACAACCCCACTCCCCTCCAACACAGGCATGATCCTAAGCAAAGGATAATAATAATGGCAGTGATAATGAAAATTATAATGCCAACAACAATAATAATTAATACTAATCCAATAAATTAATGAAAAGCAATGTCTTTGCTAGGGCTGTATGTGCTTACACCTTGTACTGAGCCCCAAGCTCTGCAGCATGTGTTTTATGGGAGCCAGGCACACAGATGGAATCTTCCACCCTCACACAGACCCAAGTGCATTTTTTCTGGACACAGGCAGTATAGGAAGGCCAAAGCCAAGCAGCAGGAAGGGGGGGAATGGTGAAAAGCAGCCTCTAATTCAACAGATGAGGGTGGTGAGGCCCTGGCATGCAGTAGCGTGTAAGCCAGTCACCAGTGGTAAACCTGTTCTCCATGACTTGTGACGTCCTTCTCTTGCCCTGTTCACAGTTGGTGACTTAGTCTTTTGGCCTGAGTGCACCAACCATTGAGGGAGAGGGAGGAATAAGAATTCAGACTAAACCAGTGAGAACACTGCAGAGTTTGAGAGACCCAGGCAAGTCAAGTGATGCTGCAAAGGGAGTTGATGCTTGTGGGAAAGCCTGGGTAAGGCTGCTGGGAAGCACAGGTGAAGGGAAGGGGGATTTGAAGCAATGTGCATCCAGATGGAGAATGAATCCACATTTCCAGCCCCGGGGCCACACTCACAAGTTACCTCTCGCATGCAGCAGCAGCTCCAGGCTCTCACTGCGTGGTGCGGCCTCATACACCGTGATGTTGGGCAAGTACACGTTGGCTCCAAAGTCAATGAGCAGTTTTATGAACTCACTCCTGCAGCCGTGCCTCAGGCAGGTTTCCAGCAGAGTCTTGGGCTCCTTGATGTGGGCGATCACACTCTCCTCAGTACAGTTATAGTTGGGATCAGCCCCATAAAGCAGCAGCCTCTTGAAGCACTCCAGGTGCCCGTATGCAGCAGCCAGGTAGAGGGGACCAGAGCAAGCCACCGAGTTGGCCACCCACTGGGGCAGCCTGGCCTGAACGTTGGTTTCCGCGCCGTGGTCCAGGAGCTGCTGCAGGATGTCCACGTTCCCGTCCCGCGCGGCGATGAGCAGCGGGGAGCAGTTGTTGTAGATGCTGCCGCAGGGGCTGGCCCCCGCCTCCAGCAGCACCTTCACGCACTCCCGGTGGCCGTTGCTGACCGCGATGAAGAGCGGGGTCTGAGCCTTCACGTCCAGGCTGTCCACATCTGCCCCGTGTGCCAGGAGCACCCTGATGCTCCGGGCACAGCCCCGTGTGGCAGCCAGGCGCAGCGGCGTGCTGGGGATGCCCCAGCCGCTCTGGCGGTTGATGACCCTCTTGTACCTGTCCTGCCATAAGAGGTTCTCCAGGGTTTGGGGGTTGTCCTCTGCTACCGCTCGGTTCAGCTCCTCACTTTCTCTGTTGTTGTCGTCATCTTCATCTTCTTTGGGCTGGAGCATGGAGAACATTTTGGTGATGTCCATGAGGCTCATTTTTGTTGGTCTGCCTCCTGTGTGCCACTTTCATCATAAAGGGAAAGCCACAGATCTACGGGACAACAAAAGCACCACCACTGGGTTAGAACCAGCCCCTGGCACCAGCACTGTCCTTTTGTTATTGTGTTTTGACAGACAAATTCAGGAAGATTCTCCATTTCTTTCCCAAAAGTCACCATCCCTGGAAGTGTTCACCCACCATGGAGAGGAGGCCCTCAGTGACATGGGTGACTGGTGGCCTTGGCAGTGCTGCGGAATGGTTGGACTTAATGATCTTAAAGGTCTTTTCCAACCTAAATGATTCTGTGATTCAAAAAGGCAAATGATATTGAGTTGTGATGCTGTTGACATGCTTATGGCCCTGCCTCCATGGGTGAAGGAATCCATGATGGAGAGCTAAGGCAAAGGTCACTGCTACAGCACATATATGGGCCACCTCCCTCAAAATGTTGTGATTGAGAACATGCTGATGTACCTGAATCTGGTGTTGCAGTTCAGATGCTGCATGTGGAGCTCCCAGGCTTTCACTTCATTATCTTTATCATCATTTAATGCTGTACTGTCAGCATTGCAAGGACTTCACACACTGCCACTTTCAAAGGGGTTGCGCTTCAAAACAGATGAGGTGAATATGATGGTGGCCAGTTTAAGGACATTGAACATCACCCTTCCTGAAACTATGCTGATATTTGGAGTTAGCAAGCCCCCTACTCTCTCCTGTCTGCTTGAGCTGGGCTGCAAGAAGGGTCTGGCAGCGTTCAAGGCCAGGTTGGTGGGGCTTGGAGCATCCTGCTCTAGTGGAAACCTCCCCCTGGGGCAGGGAGTTGGAACTGGATGAGCTTTAAAGTCCCTTCAAGCAAAACCAGTCTGGGGTTCTGTGATTTCTACAGTGGGGCAGTGGAAGGTGAGGGGACACTGAGCTGGTCACAGCACGGCTGGGACTGGACCCCAACACATCTCCAGGACACAGGATCCAGCCTCACCATGGCTGGGCAGCAGCAGGGAGAGGAATGCAACGGCCGGGCCGGCACCTGAGCAGCTGGAAGTGCTGCCGCCGGGAAGGGTGCTGGAATTCCTCACCCCTCGGGTCACAGCTCGGGTTTCCCTGGGGAGAGGCAGCAGCAGCAGAGCCGGGTGTCCCCAGGCAGCTCTGATCCTGCCCCGGGTGAGGCAAAGAGCTGCACTGAGCAATCGGCCTCTTTCTGCAAATGGAGCAGCCACGGGAGGCTTGGCCTGCATTTGCCTGTCCAGGCAAGCCATGGAGGCTCAGAGGAGCCCCAGCACAAGGCCACGCTGCAGCTTGGTTAAGTGGGTTAAGTGTAAGGACAGCAAGTGACAGCAGAGCTCTGCTGCGCTTCCACTGGTTGCACTAACCCAGACAAGGTATACAGGAATTATAACATTACTGTTACTCATTAGACATGGAGCTGCTGGAGCGAGTCCAGAGGAGGCCACGGAGATGCTGCAAGGGCTGGAGCAGCTCTGCTCTGGAGCCAGGCTGAGAGAGCTGGGCTGGGGCAGCCTGGAGAAGAGAAGGCTCCTAAAGGGGAGACCTTAGAGCAGCTCCAGTGCCTAAAGGGGCTACGGGAAACCTGGAGAGGGGCTTTGGACAAGGGCCTGTAGGGACAGGACAAGGGGAATGGCTTTAATCTGCCAGAGGGGAGACTGAGATGAGCTCTTAGGCAGAAGCTCTTTGCTGTGAGGGTGCTGAGGCGCTGGCACAGGGTGCCCAGAGGAGCTGTGGCTGCCCCATCCCTGGCAGAGGTTTGGAACTGGGTGAGCTTTAAGGTCCCTTCCAACACAAACCATTCTATGGTTCTATAATGTAACAAGCTCTGGAGCTTTGGATCCCCTCATCAGCGTGGCTAATGGAGTCAGGAGTTTAGTGCAGCTTCAATTCAAGAAGGCCCAGCTTTATTCCCAAGGGAAATGGACTGGAAAAGTAATATCCCCGCAGAACACACATTTTCAAAGGGATGTCACTTTGACAGTGTAAGAGTTCACATGGGGATCTCATAGCTGCTCCTCAACCAGAAGAGCCCAAACCAAGCTGACAGGATGGAAGCTGTGCATCTTCAGACACGCCAAAAAGAGGTTCTGACTGGAGCTGAAGGTAACACAGAACAGATGATTTACAGCTGGTTCCCAGTTACCTCTGACTGCCGGATGCTGCCTGGGCAGCGTTACGCTGGTGCCTTACCTGGTGATGCTCAGAGCCAGGGTTGGTGAGGCAGCAGTGGTCCCATGGCCAGGTCCTCCCTTGGTTTTAACGAGAAGAGAGAGGATCCTGCTGTGATGGGGTGGACGTTGCCTCTGTGTGGCCGGAGCAGCGCAGGCTGTGGAGCTCACAGCTGAAATGCCACCGCGGGCAGACGGGCCAGGGCGCAGGGGCTAATTTTAGCCCCTCAGGGGTTTTATCTTACCACTTCCATTCTTGGAAAGCTCCCCCTGGGTAAATATAGAGAGGGGCAGTGAGGTGGGGGGGCTGGGACAGGTGCTGGGGCTGCTCGACCCCTCTGAGCACACACAAAGTGTTTGTTCCACCCTTTCCTTGCAGGAATCACAGGGTACCGGTGGTTTGACTCCCTGCTGCACCATCAGCCTCCACTTATCATGGTCACCACCAATCACCCTCATTGATTCTCTTTAAAACATCGCCCAACTGCTTTTTCCACTTCCAGAGCCATGCAAACAACCATTTGAAACAACCAGAGTTATTAAACATAGGGAGGACAAAAGGCACTGAGGAGGGTCCAGATTCCTCACCCAAGCTACTCCTCAGGCTTCCCCCCCCAGCTCCACCTGCCAGAACCAACCCCTGCTTTGGCTTCATGAAAATCAGCAGCACACAGCAAGGCAGAAAGCTTCACATGAGCAAACAAAACTGCAGGGAGCAGTGACGGGGCTGCCTTATCAAAAGCTGTCAGCTGCTAAGTGCAATCCTACTTTATCCAGTTCCCTGTAAACCTCTTCCAAACTTCCCAGCAGTGGAGCAGGAGTGTCGTGACAGTTGGAGGCAGTGCTATCAGCAGGACGAGATAACAACAGGGGAACCAAATCACCCAGCAGAATTATCTCCACTACTGTAAGAGTAAAATCGGGGCTCTGCAAAACATTTGTGGTGTCCCCACAGCCACCATCACACTCCCAGTTTGCAGCCATGCTGTGGAGAGCAGGACAACAGCCAGTACTCACAGGCCTGAGACTTCTGCTTCCTCATAGTTTCACTCCAAATTCACTCAAAAATAGGTTACCTCAAAAAGGTCAATTTTCCAAAATCAGTGTTATAGATGGAATTATGGAGTAGGAAAAATACGGATAAGCATCAGAGCAAAAGCAGGAGTTCAGGGTTTAGCGAGAGTCAAGAAGCTGCAGCCACAATGGGGGTGCTGCAGGTAAAAAAGCTGCGCCTGGCTGGAAACGCCTGCAACAAAATGCAGACATAAAAGCAGCAATTAAAGATCCTGTGTATTTTAAAGGGAAAAACAAGTGGATACAGACAACAAATGAATACACTCATTAGAAAACATGAATTGCAGGGAACTGTAAGGGAACTGAGAGATGAAAGGGAAACCCTTGAGTGGAAAATGTAGTAATAAACTGCATATTCCTTTGTTGCTACTGCTGTTGTTTAGTTGTTAAACAAGAAAAGAAGGCTCAGACCCAGCTCTTTAGTAGGGAGCAGTGATTAAACCAAATACTAATGAAGCATAAACTACAAACTACTCGCTGATAAATCCACCCTCGACTGGAAGAACATGAAGTGACACCTCCCTGTGCTCCCTGAAGAGCCACAGCACTGTGTTAAATACTGTCCTGCATGAATATTTAAATCAGCAGATTCAGGTAAACCCCAACCAGATGAGGCTGACCCATTTTGGAGAAGCTTCCTAATGCTTCCAACATCAGGGAAGGCAGAGGATTGGGAGAAACCTTCACCTCCTGCCTGAGCTCCAAGCTCTGGAGTCGCCAGCTGACCTGACCTGTGCTGCAGGCAAAGCAGCTCTTCATTAATTGGGGAAGAATTAAAGAGCAGAAGTGTATTTAATGCCAATCAAGAAGGTTTTTTGGGAAGGTAAATCCCATCCAACCAAGTTGCTTCCATTAAAAAGATTAGAGCTATTAACGCAGCCGAGCGAGGTAATGAGCTTTCAGGTTTAACAGCCCTAAGCATTCCGATTTAAAAGTTCGGTGCTAAACAGGACCAAATAAATCATTTTGCAGGGATTAAGGATTTACTGACAGCCCCCATGTTTGGAAACACGCAGTTACTTCGTGGTGATGCTTCTGCCTCCTGCCTTTGAGCTCTAAGTCACGGCCAAACCACAGCAAAGCCTTTGAACTGGGGAGTTTCCTCCGTGCCAGTGGGAACACCTGCACATTCCCAGCGCTGCTTCCTGCCGCTGGCCACCTCCTCACCACCCAGCCCGGAGTTGGGTGATTCAGGTGTTAACCACGAGAGGGCACGAACACCCAACGACCATCCCTTCCTACAGCAAACGCACCCACAGCAGCTCCAGAGCCCGGGCTCCGAGGCTCTTCACAGTTTCGTAGGTGTATTAATCACAGTCACGGACTGGTTTGGGCTGGAAGGGACCTTTAAAGCTCAACCAGTTCCAACCCTCTACGACGGGCAGGGACACCTTCCACTAGAGCAGCCCTTAAAAAACACCCCACAAACTTCAGCAATACTCCTACAATGACTTGAAAGGGAGCCTGCCCCCTCAGAGCTGGAGTTTGATTCCACATGGAAGTTTCCAATCCTCCTCATGCAGATGCTGTCAGACAGCACTTTCCCCAGTTGTGAATTAAAGCTTTATCAACTGCAGGCAGTGTTAATGCTAATAATCCAATTAAGTGCAAGCAAGGCTCATTTAGATACACGAAGGATTTCACTGCAAAATTAAGAACATTTAAAATTAGCAAGAAGGAAAAACACTCTGAAGCACCTGGGGACTGAGAATCCCCAAGTGTTGTGTGTATTTTTGCCTCCAAGTGCTTATTTTACAGACTGTTATTAAAACAGCCTCC